ATACGTCTCAGTAATTGTCTCCTTTCGAATGTCATCAACCATATAGGATATAACTGGTCGTATTATTGGTAGCTTGAGTGAAGGATTGATTTTGATTTTATAGATAGTAACTGTCATTTTAATAATTTTCCCAGTGCAAAATATCCTTTATTAGCAGCCGAGATTCTTAGTCTTATATCATTATGCATATTATTTGCATTGTATATATGAGTTCCCAAATATTTAAAATCGGTTATAGTTTGAAGAGTGTTATATTGCCGACTATCAGGTCCTGTGCATTCCCATCTCTTCTACAACCATATTATACTAGCACATAGCACATAATTAAATTATAAACATTTTGTAGGTACATACCTACATAGCATTTGAATACATAATGGATACCCGATAATAGTATTATACCATCAAGTGTTAATATATATAATATGCCCATGCACATAGTACAATACTACAATTACATATTATTGTGTATACTGTTTAGTGTTTACTATATTATATTGTATAGAAGAATAAATTTGTATTATTTTATACGACTATATAGATTGTGCATACAATCCAATATCCATTAAATATGTATATACAAGAGGAGTAAACAAATACAAATCTAAATCAAAGCACAAAAAAAAATTTAAATAAAATAATTTGTGTACCTTTAAAAATAAGATAAAATAATGCCTATATGAGTAATGGGAGTGGGTTTATGGTTAATGTGTACCCAGTTAGGTTTGCTAACCCGGGCAAGTGTGATGTTATTATTTATATTAAATTAAAACTGAAAGTACCTAATCGTATCAGAAAAGTAGGTAGGTAACATAGAATTAATTTAGAAATTAATACCGATTCATTGGAATGGATTCAAGAATTCGACATTAGCTTATGATAATCTGTGAAGAAGTATAACTATATTTATTTATTATTGCTGTAATCGATTTTGTATGATTTATTTTAATTTTAATTTTGATATTGATATTATGTTACGTTTGACTTGTGTTTATTAACCTATATTGTAAATTTTTAATCATATAATATGCATTACCGTTTATAATTTATACTTATTAATTTTGATTTGCAAACCAGTCAAAGGTAGCGGTACCCTAAAAAAATGAATCTAAATAAAATGTATTCCAATAGGTATTTAAAATAAAAAAGGTGCTCTGCTGTACAGTAGGTTACAAGTGGGTCGCTGTTTAATGGATGGTATTAAATTTGAATTCAATGATATAATATCATTGTATAAGAAAAACGATTCTGAGCGGAGACGGTATGTCAGTCTAGGTATAAGACATATTATATACATATCTAAGGTATTAAAAAAATGGTACCTATAATAACTACTTACGTGGAATCTTGTTTTAAATTTTTAATTCTTAGATATAAAAGTTGAACATTTTATAAATTTTTAGCTACAAAATAATTATTTAATTTTAAATTTGATATATTTTGTCAAAATTCGATCTTTAAATGCTTATAAAAAAAAATTGTGCCTATGTATTTTTAATATTTTTCAACTAATGTTGTAAAAATAAATTAGGAGCCTTGTATTAAATTTTTACACTTTTTGACCCAACAGATAAAACTTAATTGATATTTATAGAAAAAAAAAACAAAAAAAATATAAAAAAATATTTTCAAAATTGTATGGTGTATATGAAATGCTAATATAAACATTCAGTGAAATTTTCATGTATCTACAGTTATTCATTTTTGAGTTACAATAAAATAAAGAAATCGCTACATGAGAAATCGAGTGAATATCCAATGTTGTAAATATTTTAATTTTTAATTTTAATTCATAAAAATTTAATTTGAATTTCTTATAGACATTTTTTTTTTTGATAAAGGTAGATAATCTTATAACTTATAAGGAATCTTGTATTACATTTTAAAATCTTAGATTTAAAAAGAAAAATTTTTACGAATTCTTAACTCAAAATAATTTGCCAATTTTCGGGATTTTTCCATATTTTGTTGATATTTACAATTTACTAGGAGCCCTCTATTAAATTTTCATGCTTTTACCAACAAATAAAATTTGAAAAAAAATAAAAAATAAAAAAACACACATCATTGTCAAATCAATACATTCATCGTTCCACTCAGAATTTAAAACCGATGATAGAATACCCATTCGTAATTGTAATATTTTAATAATATAATTTATTACCTTAACTATAATCTATATAGGTATATAGATTATAGGCCACAAGTAAATAGTTGAAATAATCTCATTCAGCCACAAAATGTGGATTTTCACCTTAATTAAGTGATCTTCTCCTATTAAGTCAAATGTTCTTTTTTATTTCATTTAAAACTTATGATTATTCTACTATTCCTACTTAGTACGTACTATATGACTTGCACATGTATTCGTGTGTGAGAGAGAGGATATTTATATACTGTATAGTATATGGGTATCTAATAATTATGTTTAAGTATGAGTAATTAAATATTCATTCAAATTTAAAATTGAAAATATATAATTAACAATCATCTCCGAAAGAAATCCAATATAAATAGGTACATAAAACGACGTAATATCTACTAAAATTATACACTTAAAAAAATCAACTTTCAAATTGTAGATTATGAAGTAAGAAAGTATTTCGATCATTTTTTTAGAATATTTCATTATTTTATGCTACAATTATTGTTTTATATATAAAAACATAGAAACTTATATTTTCTTTAAAATACTTGGGAGACCTGATCATCTGATAAAATGTGAAAAGTTAATTTAATTTTAGGTTTGATTATGGGGTATTGGGTTGGTAAAAAAAAAGTTATATTTATACATAGAACTACTGATCCATAAAATCAATTTTTATGATAAATTCATGAATGGAGTCAATAGAGAAATATATATACTATTACCAATTGGCATTTACGAATTACTGAATCATAACTCTTTACGGAATAAAATGGTTCCAACTGTGTATACCTATTGAACAATTTTTTTTTTATAACTATAATACCTAGGTCCTAGGTACGTTTAATACTATAAAATTATTTAAGATAAATTGTATTTTGAATAATAGAATAAGAAACTTATTGAATATGTACCTATAATATTGACATAATATTAACATGCTTCTTCATTAGGACTTACTATACTGCTTATGTAATATAATGATAATACATTTATACAGTTATGCTGTAACTTGACGTTATTAATATCTATTTAACAATATTATTGTGATAATTATTTGACAATTCTGCAGTTGATTAAAAAAGGATATTAGAAACTTAAATTATGTAAGGTTGTTTAAATTCTAAGTTATTATTTATTTGATCATAATATATATATATGATACTGATTAAGAAATCCATGACCGACTATAATAATATATAATCAAAATAAAACAAAAAACAATTTCCATTGTCCAGCATATAGGCATATTGAAAAAATACAAAGCGAATAATACGTTTTGATTGTGTTTGTATAATAAACTTTGGCTTAATTATCATTGTACTATAACTTCATATGGTGGCATACACTAAGAAATATTGATCATCTACGTAGTTTCTATTTTTTTTCTAGTTAATAGTTGGACAAATTAAGACGAAATCTGTTCTGACTTCTAGTACACAATTTTAAGTTGTTGAAAAACAAAATTTTTCTAAAAAAAAATATATATTCTTACCATTTAAGAGTTCAGCGATACATGTAGGTATTGATTTTACAATGATGTGTGTGATTTTTGTGTCTGTCATCACCGTTTGGGGAAGTCAAACTGCTTCGATTTTCTTCAACAGTATCTATTGTAACCAAATTTTAAATTTTAAAACGATTCGTAGTTAAATATTTATAAAATATTCAACTTTTATAGCTAAGAATTGAAAATGTAAAACAAGGTTCCACATAAGTAGGTTATTCTGTAACCAAAAAATCTCAAAAATATAAAAAACGGTTTTTTTTTAATAGTTATTTTATGTTCAAAATTGGACGAAATTACTTATTAAATAACCAAAAACAACAGTTTTAGTTATTTTGTTGTAATTTTATAATAATAATAAGTAATAACAATAACCAATAGGCATAAACATAATATAAAATACACTGGCAAACCGTCTCCGCTCAGAATAGTTTTTCGTATAGGTACTATATATTTTTCGTATATTATATCCTTTAAACTTGTAACCTATTGCACAGCAGAGGAACAACCTTTTTTATTGTTGACGTTGTTAATTTTTTTTTTTAACTTTTAATGACAACATTCATTTTTTGAATTTTGGACGAATAGTATATCCGTTGTAGTTTTATAAGTATATACATTTTAAATGAACGAAGCGGAAAGGTAGTGTTGGTATGTGTTGGTAAATGATGGTTCACTACTCCCACTCGTCTAAACTTTAAATACTTATACGTTATAAATTATAAGTTATAACTGATAAACTACTTATCCAAAATTTGATTTTATAGATCGAAATACTCCAAATAATATTTTTATTCTTCTTCGGAAAATGAAATTTAAAATGTACTTGTCGTTTGAAAGAGAGAAAAACTAAAAAAAGTTATGTTTTGAACGACTTAAAATTATGTAAATGAAATATTTTTTTCTCAGAAATTATGAGTTTCTCGTGTTACATTTGAAAACAATTCTGCTGAAAATATATGAATACCTAAGACCGAATAAATTATAAAGAAAATAACTCTAATTAATAAGGTGACATCGAAATGATATGTTATTATTTAACTAAACAGGATGATTCTCTTCACAGGAACTTCTCATTTCTTTTCGAGATAGTGAGTGTTTGACGTCAAAAAATCACCTAGTATAGGAAATAAGAATAAATATTATATTCCAGTCATTATGGGATTTACATAATTTGTAAACGTGTAAAATCCAATACCGGCAATACCTATGTTTTGCAGTTGAGTAAATATTTTTTCTATATAAAACAATAACTCAAACACTGAAACACCCCACTGCTTTTTCATCAAATAGGCAGGGGAAATTATATTACAATACATTGGCACTAGGTAGGGATATATTCTTAGAATGCAAAAACATCTTAAGAGTATACATTTTGTTAAACAATGTAAAGAATATTCAGTACCGAGACATCGCAAGAGAGAGTATTTTAAATTCTACACAGTTGTTGATTGGCATTTTCATGTTTGTTGTAATCATTTATTATTCACAAATCGTTTGACAACAACAGGTGCGTTTATTATCACTATCTATTATACAGGATATAGGAAGTAATTTTTTTTTTAAACTGTGCAGACATTATACCGAGAGTACTAAAAATGATCTTTATGGAGAAACTATAGTAATTATTTATAATATAAGATTTTGTAATATTATATATTTATATGCCATTAATGATCGCCTTCGGTTTTGTTGTTATACAATTTATCTTTATTTCGAAAAGAAAGAATTACATTATATGTATTTACTTGTAATATTTATGTTTTTATTTTTATTATTCGTTTTGGTATTAGAATTTGGAACATTTGATCGTAAATAAAATATCTTGAAATTCTTTCAATGTAAAAATAACAATACAATTATAGAGACGAATTAGTTTTCAATGTGGACAGTGTTATTAAGCTTTCAAAATCTATTTATGTAGTATTTACACATTATTATGTCTTTTAAGTTTTAATGATATATTTAGTATTTTAAATTTTTAGATAAACTATAATAAATTATAATATATCTTACTAGTTAAAAGTATAAGTTTAGTAATATATTAGGTTTAGTAATACTAATTTTTTTGTAGATACCTACTAATTATATTTACAGTTCTCATTAAGCTAAAAAAAAAAATAGCTCTGATTAATGTAGATACCTATACATAATTCATAAATCTATTATCCGTTTAGGGCTTTTAAATTTGTATTGTATAGGTATACTGAAGTATAAATACATAATACGTTTTAAAGAGTTATAACTATAATATATATGAACGTGCATTTAAATATTTTTTCAGCGATGTCACCGACAAAAGCTTCTGGCATTACTGTGGACGACGATGATCAGAAAAAGCACACGGATGACTGGTGGGCAGGCAATGAGCCTTGTGCATTACCAAAGCATGTTCAAGAAGTGGCTTTGATTCAGTTACGGGAAAATGAAAGTGCTCGTAATCAAGCAATTTCTGCGTTTCGACAGTGGATATTAAAAAATGCGGATATTCAAAACGTAAATACTGGTATGGTAAATAATTTTATTTTAAAATATTATTACGAAATTCAAAAGCTCTTAATAATGTTATTCAGTAAAACTTACGTCTTAAAGTAAACTCTAAATTTTTATTTAAGAAGTAACGTTTTTGTCTAAGCTCAATGGACGGATGTTTAGAATTTAAATAATCAATTTATCGATCCTACTCATAAATCCAATTTTTTTAAAGTGTACAGACAGACTATATCTAGAGATAACAATATAAGTAAATATAATAATATTAGTGCCGAAGACTTCTTGTAGTAGATAAATGATAATATTTAGATATATGAAGTACAAATAATACATTTCGATAAAGTTAATAAAATAAAAACTTGAAAAGCTAATTTTTTTACGATCTCTTGACAAATTATGACGGAAATTAATAATTAACTACTTACACAGTTAATTTCTCATGCGAGTTGAATGTAATAGGTAGACGTTATATGAGACATGGTTTTATCGTCGGTATCGGCCCGGATTTTCACAATAGTTAAGTTATTAATTTCATACCGACAATTGTTATCCTAATGTGTTTTTATATTTTCTAAAAAATCATTTGACCATAAACTTTGCTACGTAGAAAAATTGCAAAACTTGTTCTTAATTTGTCTAATACATTCAAATATGCACTAATGACTAAATATGTAAAATAAAATTGTTATACAGCTATAAAACATATTTATAGATCAGCCATCACTTACATCGTAATTCAACCTTCCTAAAAAAATTTAATAAACTACAAGTCCTCAGCCCCAATATAGTAATAGTTATTATAATATGGTAATTTTTAATTTGTATGACTTATATTATTAAGGTTTTGGGTAATATACTATAATATATTGTACTTTATGATTATTTGATATACATTTCTAATGTAATTCTTCAATAGATATACTTTAAACGAGAGTCCCTTAATTATGTAGAATACTAAAGTAATTATTTCAATATATTTTTGTACTTGCGATTATTCATTTAAAATAATATATTAATATTTCAGATGAAAACTTTTTGTTACGATTCTTGCGTACTAAAAAATTTAGCTTACCGATGGCTCAACAAATGCTGCTCAAATATTTGAATCTTCGACAAAGGTTCTCAATGTACTTCATGGGACTAGACTGTTTAATTCCATCAATCAACGAACTTATTGACTCCGGATATATGTTTGTATCGCCTTTTAGGGATAACCATGGTCGGAGAGTTATTATTGGTACTGCCAGTAAGTAAATCAATGAAATACGAAAAATTATTAGTTATTATATACTCATACCTACATTGCAGTATTCAATATAGCTATAAAAATGAAAATAGACATAAATAAAATAAAATAAATATATTTCGTATAAGTAAGTACTAGCATTGATTGTGAATACTAGTATAGTAGTATTCATAATCAATGGTACAGGGTACTAGTTTGAACTTAGAACTAGTAGCCAGTAGGTAATTTGTGTCAGAACACAAGTTATTTATAAGGGAAACCAAAAAAAAATATTCTAGAACTTCCATTTTTCACCGATTTAAGGTTCGATGGCACAATTATAATCTATCGCTCCGACTTCGTTTCCTAGTTATAGCCATTTAAAATGTATAATGAATCACGGTAATCACGTCCTGTCGGTGCTTGGCGTACTGGCATGTGTAGATAACACGGTCTATAGTATGAAGCCGGGCTCTCACCAAAGTCGTGTGTCATAGTCCATAGGTGTGCCTTTTATCGTATTCTGATTGGCTATTGCAATCAAGGTATAATTTTTACTAACGATGATTTACTAGGAATTTTCCAGAGTTGGTCCTTGCTCAACTTTTAGATACTTTTTATTTTGATTTTTTGATTTGATTTGTATTTTGACTGTGATATTATAGTGGCAGACAAACGGGGAAGGGGGTGAGGGAATATATTCCCCATGGCTTTTTTTTCAATATTTACAATAACTTAGGTAGGTATAGGTTTAAGCGGTAACTATAAATACTATTAATTATTATTAATGATCAAATAGTGTATGTTGAAAAATCAGCCACTCCTCCCTGCCGTCCATGACAAAACGATTTGATCTATGTGATAAAAATACCTATGACTGGTTACATAAACAATCACTAAACATTTAAAGAATCAATAGTGAGCTTTAATTGTCCCTTAAACATGATTTATTGGCCAATGATTGCGGTTCATTAAATTATTATATCTTATACTATAAAACGTGAACCCGAGGGCGCAGCTTGTGGAGTAAATCCGAACTGACTTAGGGAACCCTCCAATCGGAAAATTACATTTCTATCCGCGGGCGGTCTCCCGGCGGCGGCGGAGCCGTCGCTGCGTTATCACTCCTCTTATCACTTTTTGCAGTTTTTTTCAAAAATCAAAGAAATTTCGAAAAAAATCGAGTTTTACCGCCACGGGGGGCCTCGGGCGGCCCCGTTCGGACCTTATTCGCGTTCCTCGGTAAATTTATAGTCGGCCCGCGGCCCTACTTTTTTCCCGGCGGGCCCCCCGCGGCGGATATCGAGTGCGATACGAGCGCCGCCGTCGCGCGCGTTTTTTGCATTTTTTTTCGAAAATTCGAGTTTTAGGCGTTTTAGGGCGTATCGACCTCCCCGTTTGGATCTTATTCGCGTTCCCCGCTAAATTTAACGTCGAAACGTGGCCCTACTTTTTCAAAAACGAGTGCCCCGGCGGACGTATCGATCGCCGAGGGCGCCGCGTCGTCGCCGTTTCGACGGTTTTCTCGACTTTTTCGACTAGAGTCGCGTGTAGCAACTCTACGAGACGTCCGACCTCCCCGCCGGCGACGTATTCGAGTTCCACGCTAAATTTATAGCCGGCGAGGGTACCTACTTTTTCAAAAACGAGTCCCGGGGAGGAGCGACGTCGCTTAAACGAGAGTAGGTACCGATGGGGTATCGAGTGGGTACCGCTATATACGGGCATAAATACGTGCGTCTCGAGGTTCGATTTTTTTCGCAAAGCTCGGGTATTATACGTCCGAGGGCGGCGGAGCCGGTCGTCCGCTCGCCGACGCTGTCGGATCGCCCGCTCAAACGCCCTTTGACGGCCGTCCAAACGGCGTTCGCCTTTCGCGGGCACGGTGACGCGGCTTAAGAGTCGTAGAATTGACCCGGATTTTCATCTGAGTAGGTGGCTAGGTTGGTTAGGCGTTAGGATAGGTGACTCGAGGGTCGTGGGTTCGAACCCGGTGGCCGTGTAAATTCGAATTCATTTTTTTTGCGTTTTTTTTTTCGTCACATTTATCATTTTTAACGAGTGTTATTTTTTTTTTTAATTTGCATTATTATATTATATATATTATTATTATTCGTTTGACGATATTTATTGGGCAAAAAAATAATTATAATTAACATTTACCGACGCACCTACATGTTTCTTTTATTAATACATTATAATACAACTAACCTACGTGTAGTACCTACTTGATATATTACAGTTTTTACGTGATTCCGATTTGGTTAAATACTGCTACAGATTATAAATACTATATTAAAAAATAGTGCGACTATATGACTGCTTCATTTGCCGTTTTTTTCGAAAATTCGAGTCCCGGGGTGGAGTAGTGTTTCGGAAACGAGAGTAGGTACCGTGTAGGTATCGCTATTCACATACATATATACATGCGCCTCAAGGTTCGATTTTTTTCGCAAATCTCGCGTTTTGAACGTCCGAAGGCGGCGGACACGGTCCTCCGCTCAAACGCCCTTTGACGGTCGCGCAACCCGCGTTCGCCATTCGCGGGGACAGCGACGCGGCTTAAGGGTCATAGATTTGACTCAGATTTTCATCTCAGTAGGTGGTTAGATAGGTTAGGCGTTAGGATAGGTGACTCGAGGGTCGTGGGTTCGAACCCGGCCGCCGGGATATTCGATAATTTGCGGCGCCCGTGATATTTCGGATTTCTTTTTTTTTGCGTTTTTTTTTTTTTTGGTCACATTAATCATTTTTAACGAGTGTTCCGATTTTTTTCAAAATTCGCGTTATTATATTATATATATCGGTATTTATATATATTATTATTCGTTTGACTATATTTATTTTGCAAAAAAATAATAATTAACATTTAATTAATATTTGATTTTACCGTGACCAACCTACAATATAATATTATAATGTAGTACCTACTTGATATATTAAATACTGCTACAGATTATAAATACTGTTTAATACAATATTAATAAACTATATTAAAAAATAGTACTACTATATGACTGCTCCATTTGCCGTTTTTTTCGAAAATTCGAGTTTCAGCCCCTTTCGGTCGTATCACCCTCCCCGTCGACGACTTATTCGAGTTCCCCGCTAAATTTATAGCCGGCGCGCGGCCCTACTTTTTCAAAAACGAGTCCCGGCGAGGAGCGGCGTCGCTTAAACGAGAGCGGGTACCGTGTATTGTATTGTATATATTATGCGTCGCGTCGTTTTTTGCGGAGCCGTCGCTGCGTTATCTTTTATCCTTATCACTTTTCACGGTTTTGACCATTTTTCACAATTTTTTTTCAACATTTTTGAGGTTTACCCCCCTCGGGTGCCTCGGTAGGGCCCGTTTGGACCTTATTCGAGTTCCCCGCTACATTTATAGACGGTGCGCGGCCCTACTTTTTCACAGACGAGTCCCGGGAAAGAGTGGCGTCGCGGAAAAGGGAGTAGGTACCGTGTAAGTATCGCTATATACAGCAATAAATACATGCCTCGCGTCGTTTTTTGCTGTTTTTTTCTAAAATTCGTTTCTTGGACCGTTTTAGTGGTATTACCCTGCCTGTTTGGATATTATTGGCATTCCCCGCTAAATTTATAAGCCACCGTCGTCAGTACTTCGCTCGAGTCGAGTTCTGCGGAGGAGATCGGAGAGCGGACAGTGTTTTTATTACTTTATACGGAAATGAAAATATGCGACAAAAAGTTTGATTTTTTCATACACACTTTCATACACATAATACATAAGTCATAACACAGTGATGCACCATTATAATTAAGCAATTATAATTACTAAATAATTTAAAACATCATAAATATCAAATGACATTTAATAAATTGGTAGGTAGGTACATCATATATTATATACAGTCATACAATATAACAGCAAAATATTATGATAGTAGGTACTTACGAAGATAAGTGCCAAAAAATTGTATTGTGTATTCATTTATACATACCTACGTTTAATAGGATAGTATTACATTACAATAAATTTTGTTATTCACCAATATAATTATCTATTTGTTAATTAGATTTAATTCTCATAATTAAATAAATATACATGGTAGGTATATTTTAGAAAATATCCAATCAGAAAATTAGATTTTTTCGACTTATTAGTTATTTGTTATAACCGCGAAAACATAACAATGATTACATTGATTACAATGAAGCCTAACATAAAACACCTGATAACTGTTCTCTATAATTATAAAAAAAATACAATTTTGTTACCTCCTGTATGCTTTATCAGATTTGAACGGCCGTTTCGAGCACTTTTCGCTGTAGGCGGATTGTCCGTTCGGGAATCGACTTTCACCCGAGATGACTGATAGACGATAGCTAGACACTCAAACTCAGAATCCGAATTTCCGATTTCAACACACAACCTCCAGAACCGGACATACACGCCCGGTGCATGGTCTACGATCCGACGTAGTCGGATTGTCTACCTGACTAGCTACTTACATACGAGCGACTTACACCCCCACTGCATCCGACACTCGGGAATCGACTTTCACCCGAGATGACTGATTTCAACAGCCGATTTGAACACCCATACGAGAACCGGACACACACGCCCGGTGCATGGTCTGCGATCCGACGTAGTCGGATTGCCTACCTGACTAGCTACTTGCATACGAGCGACTTCCACCCCCACTGCATCCGATCCGCCGCAGGTGGATTGTCCGTTCGGGAATCGACTTTCACCCGAGATGACTGATAGCTAGACACTCAAACTCAGAATCCGAATTTCCGATTTCAACACACATACGAGAACCGGACATACACACCCGGTGCATGGTCTGCGATCCGACGTAGTCGGATTGCCTACCTGACTAGCTACTTGCATACGAGCGATTTACACCCCACACTGCATCCGATCAGCCGCAAGCGGATTGTCCGTTCGGGAATCGTCTTTCACCCGAGATGACTGATAGCTAGACACTCAAACTCAGAATCCGAATTTCCGATTTCAACACACACACTCCAGAACCGGACATACACGCCCGGTGCATGGTCTGCGATCCGACGTAGTCGGATTGCCTACCTGACTAGCTACTTGCATACGAGCGACTTACACCCCCACTGCAACCGACACTCGGGAATCGACTTTCACCCGAGATGACTGATAGCTAGACACTCAAACTCAGAATCCGAATTTTTAAGATTTCAACACACACACTCAAGAACCGGACATACACGCCCGGGCATGGTCTGCGATCCGACGTAGTCGGATTGCCTACCTGGCTGGCTGTGTCTTACGATCGACTTGAATCGCGTGACTTACGACTAGACATTCTTCCGAGTTCAAAAATTACCGCTTAACCAGTGCTGCCAACACGACAAAACACAATATCCGACGACCCCCCCTTCCCGCCGCAGGCTGGATCAAAAAACCCAGCATCGCCGACAAAGATGCACCACCACCCACACAGTCTTTCCGCCGTAGGCGGGATGACAAACACCGGAATCTAGTCTTATATAATAAAACGCTAATAACGCGTATAAGATCCGCGGGGAGCGCTCACGGCACTCCGCGTTTCTTCCATGACGACCAATCACAATACTTCCCGCGCGTTCGCTATAAATTCCGCTCGCTTATCTCCCTTTTCCTTATCGACGAATATTCGAATATCGATTCAAAAATTCAAAAACCCGTGTTTTTCAATTTTTTGACGTGATAATAACGTCTTATAAATCGATTACCCCGCGACCGTCGGGCGGAGTGGGGGGGAACCATTAAACGAGTAATTATTTTTGACGAAGCATAACTTAGCCGGTATTCGACTTAGAGACCCCGTACCAATGGGCATCTCAATTTTTTAGGCCCCAGATGAATTTTCAACATTAGGGAACCAAAGCCCCCACCCCCCCCCCACATTTTGAGTTGAGTATAACTCGGCCGGAATTCAAGTTAAACACCTCGGACCAAGGGGGAACCCATTCTTTTTATGAATACTACCGTTTTCCGCTTTAGGGGACGGGGGCACCTCCTCCACCCCTTTTTGGATTTTGCTTTTTTGATGGATTTTGGTCCGGGAGAGTACTGACACCCACCTCGCCAAGGGGAAACTCGGGGTTTTGAGTTTTTGATAGGATTTATTGGGATTTTCTTAAATATTGTTTTTATTGATAAAGAAAGTGATAAGAATTTTATTTTATCGCCGCGAGCACGGCGACGCGGCTTAAGAGTCATACATTTGCCTAGAAATTTCATCTGAGTAGGTGGCTAGGTTGGTTAGGCGTTAGGATAGGTGACCCGAGGGTCGTGGGTTATTTGCGGCGGCCGTACTAAATCGAATTTCTAATTTTTGCGTTTTTTTTTTTCGTCACATTTATCATTTTTAACGAAAGTGTTAATTTTTTTTTTAAATTTGCATTATATTATTATATATATTATTATTATTCGTTTGACGATATTTATTGGGCAAAAAAATAATTAAAATTAACATTTAATTAATACTTGATTTTACCGACGCACCTACATGTTTCTTTTATTAACACATTATAATAACGTATAACTAACCTACGTGTAGTACCTACTTGATATATTACAGTTTTTACGTGATTCCGATTTGGTTAAATACTGCTACAGATTATAAATACTATATTAAAAAATAGTACGACTATATTTGCCGTTTTTTTCGAAAATTCGAGTCCCGGGGTGGAGTAGTGTGTCAGAAACGAGAGTAGGTACCGTGTAGGTATCGCTATATACAGGCATATATACATGCGCCTCGAGGTTCGATTTTTTTCGCAAATCTCGCGTCTTGAACGTCCGAAGATGGCGGACATGGTGGTCCGCTCAAACGCCCTTAAGAGTCATAGATTTGGCTCCTAATTTCATCTCGGTAGATGGCTAGGTAGGTTAGGCGTTAAAACGGGTGATTCGACGGTCGTGGTTTCGAACGCCGGCGGGGCCGTGTTAAATCGAATTTCTTTTTTTTGCGTTTTTTTTTTCGTCACATTTATCATTTTTAACGAAAGTGTTAATTTTTTTTTTAATTTGCATTATTATATTATATATATTATTATTATTCGTTTGACGATATTTATTGGGCAAAAAAATTATTATAATTAACATTTACCGACGCACCTACATGTTTCTTTTAATAATACATTATAATATAACTAACCTACGTGTAGTACCTACTTGATATATTACAGTTTTTACGTGATTCCGATTTGGTTAAATACTGCTACAGATTATAAATACTATATTAAAAAATAGTACGACTGTAATATGACTGCTTCATTTGCCGTTTTTTTCGAAAATTCGAGTCCCGGGGTGGAGTAGTGTGTCGGAAACGAGAGTATGTGTAGTGTATTCATTTATAGATACCTACGTTAGGATAGTAGTACATTTCAATAAAATTTGTTATTCACCAATATAATTATCTATTTGTTAATTTGACTTAATTCTCATAATTAAATAAATATACATGCAAGGTATATTTTAGAAAATATCCAATCAGAAAATTAGATTTTGTCGACTTATTTGTTATAACCGCGAAAACATAACAATGATTACATTGATTACAGTGAAGCCTAACATAAAACACCTGATAACTGTTCTCTATAATTATCAACAAATACAATTTTATTACCTCCTGTATACTTTTTCATATTTGAACGGCCGTTTCGAGCACTTTTCGCTGTAGGCGGATTGTCCGTTCGGGAATCGGATTTCACCCGAGATGACTGATAGCTAGACACTCAAACTCAGAATCCGAATTTCCGATTTCAACACACATACGAGAACCGGACACACACGCCAGGTGCATGGTCTGCGATCCGACGTAGTCGGATTGCCTACCTGACTAGCTACTTGCATACGAGCGACTTACACCCCCAGTGTCCCCCACTGCATCCGACACTCGGGAATCGACTTTTACCCGAGATGACTGATAGCTAGACACTCAAACCCAGAATCCGAATTTCCGATTTCAACACACACAATCAAGAACCGGCATACACGAATGGGGCATGGTCTGCGATCCGACGTTGTCGGATTGCCTACCTGGCTGGCTGTGTCTTACGATCGACTTGAATCGCGTGACTTACGACTAGACACTCTTCCGAGTTCAAAAATTACCCTTTAAAAAGTGCTGCCAACACGACAAAACATAATACCCGACGACCCCCCTTCCCCCCGCAGGCTGGATCTAAAAACCCAGCATAGCCGACAAAGATGCACCACCGCGCACACAGTCTTTCCGCCGTAGGCGGGATGACAAACACCGGAATCTATATTTTAATAAATAGCTAGTTATATTATATTATATTATTATTATTATATCGATTTGTCATGCAACTACTGTGATAACCTAACGTGTAACATCACCAGTTAAATAAGACAAGCAGTTACTCTTTACCCCTGCCGGCTCCGGTCACTTGCAGTTCTCAAATCGTAACATTGGCCGTTAAAATAAGTAATAACATAAGTATAGTCGCTTCCTACGTCTACCAGCTCTGGCCGAACGGTACTATATTGGTCGTTGTGTTTGCAGGGTATTTACTAATTATATTTTAAAATGCAAATGGTTTTGTGTGATAAACTGATTTAACACTACACGTCTATAATACTAAAAACTATAGGTACAATAGGTACATTATTTATTTGTATCTAATAACATTTTTTTTTTTATAAACAAAATATAACTCTATAATTATAATTTACCTTTTTTTTATTGTTTCGAATATTTTACTCAATTCAACCAAAATTACATAATTTGTCAATTTTTTAGTCTTCACATTATAATATAGTGTATATAAATATAAAAAATATAAAGTGACTATAGAGTCATATAGAGTACTGAACAATTAAAACTTTAACTTAAAAATAAACAGTTATCCTGTGATTACATGATGATAAATGTATACCGAGTGAGGATGTGAAATTGGTTACAGATCACATACATATAGGGGTTTCAAATTCGAATTATAAGCTCGTACTGCGTCCTCTCTATTAATGGTGAACCATAAATAAATATTATAGTGTACTTATATTTTATTTGATTTACAGGAGGCTTTGATCTTCGAAAATATAGCAATAGAGACTTGGGTGTTGTGCATATATTGACCTATGAGACATTACTAAACGATGAAGTCAATCAGGTCATGGGATTCACCCACTTCGGTGATTTATACTCCATAACACCAGCATATATAACTCTGTTCGCTCCTAATGAATTCGCCACTCTTATCAAATGGGGAGAGGTAAACATTACAGATGAACAATTTTCTTATTAGCTTTTTGTTTATTTTGCATATGGTCACAATCTTACTCATTTACTCAGTATATTATTTTAATTATTCACTTTTACTTTTACATTTTTTTATGTATCCGACGACCCGATAGGGTCACACTAAGTATAAAAAAAAAAGAGAGCCTTACAATCCACACATAGGCAAAACAATTCTCGAATGCTTGCTGGGTATAATAATTTATTCAAAATTGGGGGGATTGAGGGTGCTAAGCCCCCCCCCCCAACTTAGCCATAGCCCCCCCCCCCCAAAAAAAAAAAACTTAGGACATACAATTATAATATGCTATATTGCAATGGTCTGATTGCCTTTAATATATTCAGCCCCCCCCCACAAGCCAAAAGTTGAAATTGCGCCTATGCTCAGCTGATTTTAATTGAATCATTTTCGAATGCAATTATATATTTATCATTACTTTCATACTTGAAATAATAATACTATATCGACATACCGCAAGGAAATTATTCAGTGTTTTGTGTTAAATAATATCTCCTTAAGTAATATCAACATGTGAAAACATCTAATTATGAATCGTAATATTATAATATATTTTTATTTATTTATTTTGTCACCTTACAATAAAAAAAATTGATATTTAGTTATATCTGGTTTATATCCATTAATGGTTTTTACGATCGTATGTTAAAATATAAATAACACGTTTTTTTTAAATTTAACTTTTTACCTATATAAATAGTTATATCTAAAAAGTTAATTGCCATTTTTTTTTGTTTATAGCAATCAATTCCAATGAGACATAAAGCAATACACTTGTTGAACGTGCCTTTACCGATCAAGTTTGCTTATGATTATTTCCAATCAAGAATAAGCCCAAAACTCAGTGCACGAATGAAGGTATGAAACTAATAAAAAATCGTGTTTGCTATGTGATTTTGGCTCTAAACAATACATAGATATTTTTTATTGTATTTTTCATTTGATCTAATTGGACGGTATAGATCAAAGCACGCCTAAATCTCAAATCGCTATCATAATGCCATAATATTCAATATAATTATAATTTTGGAAAAAACAAAACTTAAATAAACAGCTTAAAAATATGGTTTAGTGTTATTGTGTTCACTATGATAGGCGTAATGCATAAAACCCTACAACTAACGCTTTCTATATAAAATACAAATTATTATTTACACCATTTACATTCAATCATGACGTTAATTCATGCATTAAATATTCATTTTATAATATCCTATATATATATTAAGCAAACGGAGTAAGATTTACAGCTGACAAACACACATATCTGTGGTGAAATACTACGTTGGTTGCAGATCATATTGTTCTCTTACCACTAAGGAAAACACAACAATTCTTACCGACCTATATCGGCTATCAGAATTCAGAAATCAGATTACTAAAAAGTAAAAAGTAAAAACACACAAATACAGTTTTAGATATAAATTGTATTAATTTTTTTCAATTTTAAAATAATTGATGAAAAATTAGACATTTACTAAGTAATTATTTGGGGACTTGGCTAAGCTTATGGATGGGTCTAACTGTGTGAGTTCACCGCCTCACCGGTTACAAGCAGGGGAGGAGGTATTTGTACCAGTGGTTTTAGCATATTTTTAGCATTATACGAGAAAATCCTGCCTTTTAAAAAAGGTCTAATTTATATTATTAACATTTTAGATGTACAATTCACTTTCCGAGTTACACGAATCACTTGATAAAAAAGTTTTACCCAAAGAGTATGGTGGTGAAATGCCAATGGCCGAAATGATCAGTAATTAATTATTTATCTATAAATACAGATACTACTATAATGATAGCTGTGCATACATTTGTTAATTTTTAATTTTTAATTTCAATTTTTTGTTTAGGCTTATGGAAAAAAGAATTACTGGCGAATAGAGAAAAATTAATAGCGTTGGATAATATGCGATTATTATCAGATAAAAGCATTATAACAAGAAAAACGAAAGCTGATATTAATCATAATTTGATCGCTGGATTCAATCAGCTAAGTGGCAGTTTTCGAAAACTGGAAGTAGACTAGCTTTTAATTATTATTAGTAATTATTGTACTAATTACATATATTGTAGATGAGTAATACATCTGTAATTCGTATCTTGTGAAAAACTTAAAAATTTTTGTTTTTTTTTCATTTTGTAAATTCTTCATTATTATAATATAAGTTTTATTTTTAAATAAGTACCCTCATAGATTTATACTAATTTTATGTAATAATTATCGTTACCTTATTTTTATTCAAACAATTTTTGCAATATTTTTAATTCACTTGTATAGTAGATACTAAATACTTATTTTAATTATGTACATTCAAATTAATATTTGTTTGAATTAGAATAATACCTACATGATATAATAATATTTTAGTTGCAAAAACTAAAATATCTGATTAAATATTTGTAATCAATTATCATAATACTGCAGTACAACTTTCGTAAATATATTATATTTATTTTTTTTACCTACATTTAATTGAGTATTTGTTTTTAAATTAATACTTTGAAAAAAAAATAACTATTTTATATAATTAAAAAATTTACTATTAAGATATAAATGTGTCAGAGCAATGATTAAAGAAAGATTTTATAATTTGTATCTAATATACATATTAATATCTATTATCTATAGTATGTTTTCCATATAAGGAACTTGATTTTTTAGGGTTTTTGCACAATTCTATTTATTTTATATGTACCAGGTACCTATATCTAATTTATCTTGTAACATGAAGGTATTAGGTAATTGTTATGTTTCATTAAATCAGAAGGTCGTTTCTAGTTGCGTCCAGCGGTAAAAATGTCTTCCGAATTGCGGCATGAGATTTCTTGAGCTACGACTAATTGTGTGTGGCCCAGGTTTTAATGGGTGCAAAATAATTAAAAAGTAAAATAATATATATTATATGTATTTTTTACTTTTTTGTTATATTTTAGATTCTGAGTGGAGCGATTGATTTTACAATGATGTATGTTTTTTTATTGTTTTTATTTGTGCCTGTGTATACGATAATTAGTCGAAATAACTCTTCAATTTTCAACTCCAGTATCTTGTTCGATGGGAAAGTGAATCTAGTTGGTGTATTGGAGAGGTCAAAATTTAAAATTCCCAGTAATATTCAAAAGTGCCTAGAAAAACAAAAAATATTAAGGAAAAACGGGAATGTTTACTGTTCAATTTTGTCAAAATCGATTTTGTTTTTGGAGTTTGCATTTAGTCATACCTTGATTTTTTATTGACTGGAGTAATGGAATTTATTATATAGATTTTCAACAAAAAACAATCATATATTAAATTTGAAAGATGGTACTATACCTCTGATAAAATTTTCAAGGTTTTTGAGGCTTCGTATTTTTTTTTTATCTGTTTACTAAATCTGGAATAAGATGAAGAACTAAAAACTATTGGAATTCAATATGGAAGTACAATATTAAGGAAGCGTGCAGGTCGCGATGAGTGATTATGAATATTAATAATGATATTATATAGGTATGTATCGACGAATTTGCTTGACTTCCTACAACTGCCCACTCGTCCCACAATTATTCACAAAATATATGGAGTCCTATAATTTATACTGCTGCAGGTGTAAAGACTAAAGATTGTACATTTTATTATTTAACAATATCTATAATAATATTTACGTTATCATATTCATTGGCGTAAGTCCATTAAATTCCATCGGTCCAATAATCATAAAGACAAATTATTAAGTCATAATAATATATTCAAAGCTCATCGCATCGCTCACTTAAACTATCTGTATATTTAAATATTTTAAACACTGCCTAATACAGCAGTAAACTATTCTACTATTATATAGGTATACTATTATAGTACCTATATGAATAATATACTAATACAGTAATACAATATTTATTATTTTATTTTATTAACATTTAGTCACTAGCCTATAATAAGAGCAAAATATTGATATAATAAAATATTATAATACAAAAATTTAATATTATCATACTGATTATTGATATAATATACCTAATTTATTTATAAATTGGTATCTATAATATTGATAAGTATGTGATAACTTAATATTATTACATAACAGCGTTATTTTGTTATTTGTTTAGTGTTGTGTAAAAAATTCAGAAAACATTGAAACAGTATTAATATTAATATATAGTACTTAGAAGTGGGTTGAAATCAAAACATTTCGTTCAAAATCGAGCCAAACCCATGCCAAAAATTTCGTTTAATACCTAACATGAATTGAGCTTTTGAATTAAATGTGGAATCGAACGGGTGTATATTTTTTTTTGAGTTCGTACATTTCCTTAGAGCTTTGATTAATTAGATAACTTGAAATTTTTGTTCAAGATCTGTTCGGTTTGGTTTTTTTTTTAAAAAAAGGTCGATTTTCCCAACTTCGATCAGTTTGGCGTGCCTCTATTTAAATGGATTAAAGTTCAGCTTCAGGCTTCAGCTGACTTTAGCAGGTACAAATGCAAATAATTTCACCTACTACATAATACCAGGGGGTGCAAGTGCCTCCCTTCCCCCCACGTAAATACATTAAAGTTCTGAATTCATATTTCATTGTGTTGGCACCATTCAAATGTACCGCACACGCAGTCATCGATATGACATAATAATAATATTAATATCTCGTATCTGAGTTGGTTTTGTGCCTTTAGGTAAGTGAACAGCAACTGTATAAGAATACACTGATAGGTACACTGAACGGCTGAACTTATTGATTATCGGAGGAGGCGTGTCATCCAGCCAGAATTTATTTTTTAGAGCGGGGAGTGTTTTAATTTTATATTAAAATATAACACTTTGGGAACTTTACACACTCTCCATTGCAGTCATCAATCTTTATCATAATATATTAACTATATCAAGTATAATAATTGTATAAAATAGAAGTATGTAACTCGTATGACAATAAATATTTTGTAGAAATCTCAGTTATATAGTACGCAATACGCATATTATATTATGTATATAAGAAAACAATTTGGTAAGTTTGAAGATTTAACCGAACTTTTATATAAATACTCTCTTACAGTGGCTCAATAATTAACATAACTATAGTTTCAATAACCCAAACCTGAGTGTTCATTCATATCCTGCAGGAGGAAACAAAATATTATGTTGTTATAGGTTCTATATCCGAGTATATTGCTAATGCAATTGATAAAAATGTTAATGAAGGTAAAATGTTAAGCATTTCTATGGACAGTACATTGGATTTATCGAAGAAAGAGCAAGTAGCTAGTAGCAAGTAGCTCATTTGTAGCTAGGTATGTTGATGAACAAAATTATCTTGTCAAAGTAATATTACTGTCTCTTAAAGAGGCGTCATGTACTCGTGGTATAGATTTGGCTAATCTATTCAAAGATGTATGTCTTGAACAGTTGAACATAATTTAGATTGGAAAACATATATAATTGGTCGAGCATATGATTCAAATATGCGAGGTCAATATAATAGGCTACAAGAGCAGAAAACCCTAGTGCTGTTTATGTTTGGTGTTGGACTGTTGGGTACTTAGATTGAACTTTTTAGCTGCAGATGCCGTTTCATTAGCAACCAATGCAATTGGTCTATTTTAGTAATTTGGATCAATTGATTGACTCTTTATGTTTCAGAGTCCTGGTTTGGATTTATTTTACGTTTTAACTTTGATGGAAAATAGTTTTAATTCAATTTCTGATTTACCCACTACGCACTAGGACATGATTAAAAAATCAAGTGAATTTATTAATGAAAGTAAGTTTGAATTTGAACCATTACCTTCGCAGCGCAGTCACCAGTCGTAAAAGAAAACTCATGCCAGGGGAACTTTCCTTCGTTGAAATTATCATCAATAAATTGAACATTTTAAAATAACAACTTACTATGCTTCGTTCGACTATATCCATAAACAAATTACAGAACCTTTTATTGGTCAATCTTGTTAAAAAAATGCCAAGAGTTAGAATTCCAAGAACGGGTGTTGACCAGTTGCCCCCCACGGCTGTTATCGGGATTTTAAAAATATACCAGTTGCCCTCAACCAAATGTACCAGTGGCCCCCAACCAGTGCCGGATTTACCATTAGGCTAATTAGGCTGTAGCCTAGGGCGGCAAAATTTAGGGGCGGCAAATTTTTTCTCTTTTTTCATCTCTATAAAGAATAAATATCGACGTCTCCATGTGGACGAAACTAATGAGGGGCAAGTTGAATTTAACGGAAGATCCGATTTTAAGATAAATAAATTTATTCCCATCATGGATAAAATAAGAGCTCAGCTCGAAAATAAATATATGAGCTTTACCGAAACATTTTTCAGAAATTTACAGCGCTTCTAAGATTTGGTGAATTAGATGAAACTGATCTCAGAGAAGAAGCTGAAGTTTTACGAAATTATTTTCCAGATGATTTAGAGTCGTAATTTGCAAATGAATTGATTCATTTTAAATTATACTGTATAAATTAAAGTATTGAGAAAGATTCCCCTTCAAAACTACTCCAACACATACGTGATCATGATCTGACATCTGTTTTTCCAAACATAGACATCTCGTATAGATTATTCAATTGCATGCCTGTTACAAATTGCAGTGCCGAGCGTAGCTTTTCATGTTTAAAACGTATAGAAAATTGTTTAAGGTCGGCGACATTAGAAACACGTTTAAATAGTTTGATGCTTCTCAACATTGAGGCTGAAATATTGACAGCCCTAAATTTCGACGATCTAATCGACACATTCGCCCAACAAAAGGCACGAAGAAAGTTTTTTTAAAGTAATCACTGTATATCTTGACTTTTGTAATTTTGTATTTGTATTTTAAAATTAAATCTCCTGTTTCTTGAGTACTTGATTTTATAAGTTTTTAATTGTGCACTAAAATAACACTTATATGAAGCTCATATTGGTTTTAAAAAAATGATTGTATGATTTTGAGGCGGCATTTTTCTAATAGCCTAGGGCGGCTGAAGAGGTAAATCCGGCACTGCCCCCAACCGAAAGAACCAGTGGCCTTACATGTTAATATATACTATATACACGATTGCAATATA